ACAGACTCAAGAGTGATCTTTTAAATTTACCTTAGCAATGTAGTTCAGCATGCCAGACACAGTGCTCAAAGCAGGCATGCTGGCTCTCCCCAATTCATCCTGAGGTTGGCTTTGGATATAAGTGTATTAGTTAATAATCTATCTGACTACAAGGAGCAGAATGTAGGAGCAAGATCACTTTAAATAAATAAATAAATGCCATTTGGGATGTAGTAGCAATGAATCAATGTTTTGTTTTTTGTTGTTTTTTTTTTTAAAGAAAATCGTCTCTAGGATCCTGCTGGGATTTTTCCCATGAGCACTGGGCCACGAAGAAATGATATTTAAGTATTGGTTATCCAGTAGCACATGGTAAGCCCTGAAATCATGTGCAATCAAGTGACATATGGATTGAGTATGTGGTATTTATATACTTAGGAGTGTGTGTGTGTGTGTGTAACAACAATTAAAAAAGGCCGTGAATTTGAGAGCTAGTAAGAAATACATGGGCAGAACGGGAGGGAGGAAAGAGAAGGGGGAAAGTGATGTAATGACATTTTAATTTTAAAAAATGAAATGATGGGCTGGAGAGATGGTTCAGCGGTTAAGAGCACTGGCTGCTCTTCCAGAGGACCTGGGTTCAATTCCCAGCACCCACATGGCAGCTTGCAACTGTCTGTAACTCTAGTTCCAGGGCATCTGACACCCTCACACCAACTCACATAAAATAAAGTTAAATAAATTATTAAAAAAAAAAAATGAAATGAAAAACCAAGAAGCAACAAAAGAACTATATAAGACAGAGCCATCATATTCATAGTTCAATGTGAAAAAAAGGAAACTGCAGAGTAAAAGTGCAGCATAAACTCTTCTTAACAGGAATGTTCAAAGACTTTTTGAAAATAAAGCTTTTGCTAGAAATCCCACAGCAGACATCTGCTCAGGTATTATTAAATAGAACAGTGTCACAGCATCCTTACCTGTAGGGGAAGCCTAAAAAGAAAGAAAAAAGCAGGATTGTTTTGAACAGCCTAGGCCAGTACTTTCCAATTATATATATTGGTTTTTCGAGTTCGAGACAAGGTTTCTCTGTGTAGTTTTGGTGTCTGTTCTGGATTTTGCTCTGTAGAGCAGGCTGGCCTCTAACTCACAGAGATCAGCCTGCCTCTGCCTCCCAAGTGCTGGGATTAAAGGCATGTGCCACCAACGCCCGGCTTCCAATGATATTTTATGCATACCATATATATAATTTTAAAGTAGGGGCTGGAGAGATGGCTCAGCCGTTAAAGGCTAGGCTCACAACCAAAAATATAAAGTAAAAGAAACAAGTTCATTGATTATATTAGCATAGTTAACTATAAATCAAAACACAATTATTTCAACATGTAATCTATATAAAACTGTTAATGTGGTGTTTTGCTTTTTGTCCTTTGTGAAATCTAGCTTACATTTAATACTTACAGCATTTCATCTTACTTCATATAGTCAATAGCCACAAGTGATTAGTGGTTTGCCTTCCTGGATATCACAGCGTTAGAACAATCAGATTCATTGCTTGGCACAAAGCATGTTGGGATAATTTTCTTTTTTAGCACAGAAGGGCACTGTGGGGCGCATCTGTATACAGGCAGTGAGCAAAGACGGTGGCATCCAAGCACTTATTGACATTATTGCCTATTAGCCTGGACTGTCTAATAAGAAGACGTGAAGTGCAGTTGCTTGCATTTACGTGCTTAAGGAATACCACGAGCTGTTCTTGAAAGTTTGCTTTACAATTCAAAAGCTGCAGACAGACTCACATTCCCAGATGTACTCATTCAATACATATTTGCTGGTGACTTTACAGTATTTTTCAATTTCCTTCAACACCTTCTCGGTGGCATCTGGAAGTTCTCACAAGCTATTTCCTCTGAAAGGAACCATGTTCCCTCCTTGCCCCACCCTCCCATCTCTGAATCTGGATGAGTCTAACCCATCTTCCAACTCTCAGATTAAATGTTACTGCCTCAAGGAAACCTTCTTCCAACTTCATATCACATACTTCCATGGCCTCCCGTCACTCACCCATCATTATGTTCATTGGACTTTACAGTAATTATGTCTTTTATTATCCCACTACTTAGCTATATTGCGTGCCCCACAAGGTCTGAAACCTTGTCCATCTCATCAGGGACTGAAGCAGACTGTCTGCCCCCATATTTAATATATGATTATTGGATGAATAACTGAATGAAAGAAATGCCATGCACTACACTAAGTAATGCAGTGGGGGGTTAAGACAGACTTCAGTACAAATTAAAATACAGTATGGTCAATACAATTTGTTATGAATTCAACGCCTGGAATGTAGGAGTAAAAACCCTAAAGTGCATTTTAAGAAATTTGTCCCTCTGCAGTCAGGGTGGGTACAAGCATTCTAGACAGGAGAGATGACAGTCCTTTTGGCTAAGAAGACATAAAATCCTGAATCAAGGCAACTGGAGTGTAGGTGTGGATGACGGGAAATTCAATATCTATTTGGGTAAGTAGAATCAGTAAGATTTGTGACAAGAACAGTTATCAATAGCTGAATAAATACAGTATCAATAACTGAATAAATAAGGTTTTCAAACCAGGCTCAAAGCCACAGGAAACTTCTTAACTGAAGTTAAGGCAGAAGGTCCTATGCAGGCTGCTGAGGGAGAAAAAAACATTGGCGGTCTTACCCAGACCTAGACCCTGCGTGCTACATTACCAACACACCAGGCCATACGTGCCCCCTGGTGCAATGGCGGTATAACAGTTATGAGGTAACCAACTGCTCTCTGATAGGATTGGAGGCCCTTTCTACAGAGCAAAACTCATGCCTGTTACTATAAACCTGGTCAAAGGCTTGAGCTCGTGAGGTTGGAGGCCCTTGGGTAGCACTAATCATTGCTCTTTTGTTAAATGGGCATGTTGTCATACTGCCATCTAAATAAATGTTTGTACCTGTGGATTTATGTTTCTCTCAATTTTGGAAGCTTCTTTTTGCAGCGGGGAGCAGTTTATGCAGAGACTCAAAGCTGGTCAAAGTGCCAAATGTAAGTAATCATGACCTGCTCAGCTGCTGCTGGATCATCTGCATTAACCCCGCTAAGGCTTGAGAAACATCCAGGAAGAGGAGGCGGAACAAATGTAAGAACCAGAGGACGGGCAGAGGGCCATGAAGTCCCTTGTCTTCTGAACAGGACTACTGAGCTCATGAACTCAGAGCAGCGGTGGTTATATGAGTAAAGACTGGCACAAGATCAAGGCAGTCACCATCCGCCATGAATGGGGAACAAGCTCACCAGACCCCACCCCTACGTGATGGCTGCCGTGGGAAGGAGAATCTTGGGGGTGTGTGTGGCCATTGGTAGTTTTCTCAAGCTCCAGGGGACCATCTCACACATATGTGCAGCACTAATTGGATATAGCAGATTTATTTAAAAGTAAAACAATAACAACATAAAGTTGGAAGGGGATATAGTATGGGAAATCTGAATAATAGGGGTGTGGGGATTGTATATAACCATATTTGGTTGGATGCATATATGAAGTTCTCAGAAAACGCATATTTTAAGTGAAAAGGGAAGTTCTGGTGTCTACATAGATGAGCTAATTTCCATATTATTATGTGATATAGCTCTAGGTGAGCATCCCCTTGATGGCGTATTCCTTGAATACTATTATTATGTATGTTTACCTCAGGGTACATTATGGATTATGTTATGCAATACTAAGCACAAGGTAGTTATACAATACTAAGCACTTGTTTGATTAATTGGTCAATGGATTAATGAGGAGTAATTTTTAAATTCCCTTCAAATTTCTGCTAGCCCCACAGGCCTATACCTGTCAGTATCTGCTTACACTGGTTATTTGCTGTGTGAGATTTATGAATTTGTCTGTGCCTTTAGTAGATTGGGATTGTGAGGGTTAATTTTAATGGAGTGGATTTTCCAACTTAACTGAACTAAATATACTCTGAGAGGTAGGAAAGCATCCTGTCTAGGTGTGTCTGTGAGATGTGAGAGGGTTCAGGGAGAGCTGAATCAGTAGACTAAGCAACATGGGTTACCCTTTCTAAAATGGTTAGGATTCCTTCATTATGCTAGGAGTCTAAATAGAACAGAAAAGCTGAGAAAAGGGAAAATTGCTTTTTTTTTTTTTTTTTTTTTTAAACTAGCGCTGAGACACACATTTTCTCCTACCCTTGACTCTGGAGTTCCTGGTTCTTCAGTTTTGAAACTTGGACATCAGCCCACCCATGAGTCCTCAAGGTCTTCAGCCTCAGGCTTATTACCGCAAGTTTTCTCACTTCTGTCGATTTAAGACAACAGACTATGGGACTTCTGAGTTTCCATAGCTGCATGATTGATTTCCTACAGTGAATCTCCTTTTGTATGAATCTTTATATTCTTAGCCTATTGGCTTCCTTCTCTGAGAACTGTGACTAATACAGTAACCATATTGACAGCAATAATCTTGCTAGGTCACTCATAGATAAATCTAACCCCATACCAGAACAGTTGTTGGCACAACTGTTTTTTTTTTTTTAAAAAATAAGCAAAAATAAGGAAATAAAAATAAAATAAATAATACTATAATAATAAATAAAAATAATACTTTGGTTATTCATTGCTATGCAATAAGTTACTCCCACATGTTATAGCTTAAAACAACGGACATTTTATTAGATTTCATGACTTTAATGGGTCAACAATTGAGGCAGGGCTCAGTGGGGGAGAGTCTTCTGCTCACTGAGGACATTCAGTGATAATGAGGGGGCAGATGACCTGGTCTGGAAGACTTAAGACAGCTTTACTTGATAAGGATGACTGGAAGACCAGGCTTCTGTGGGTCTGATGGCCAGGGTCACCTACACTTCTCCAAAGTGGAGGTCTGAGTGCTTTTGTTTGCCTGAGACTCTTCTGAATGAGTATTCAGAGACATGTGGTGGATTTCCTATCACTTAGCCTTCCAATTCTCACTCTGTCTTGGCCGGTTCCTTAAGCGGGTCACCAAGTCTAGTCTATTTTCAAGAGGATAATGCTCTCCAAGGGAGGATTAGTGGGGAATTTATAGGCATTTTTCAATCTTCTGCATGCATCAATGAAAAAAAAAAAAAAAAACACAGGTAAAATCGGGCAGGGATCTAAAATAGAACAGTGATTGCCAAATGAGCCAGACATAAGTAGCCAGCAAGAAAATTTATAGGTTATGCATACAAAGAGCTAACTTTTTTTTTTCCAGTGCCAGGGAACAAACCCAGGACCTCAAGCAAACCCAGCCACAAATACTGACATTTATAGGGAAATCAAAACCCTTGAAAATATCTATAAAACACTACTATTGACCACTTGATTGACTGCTTT